AGACTACCATAAATTGTGCTTGGTACGTGCGCGCCAGAGTTGGTTCCAGTTCTTACGCGTCTTTTTCGGCTCTGTTACTCATCAGGTATAGTCCCAAAGTTTTTGAAGACGGCTTTGGTGCATCCGATCCCTCAAAAGGGAGATCGCTCAGATCCAGCTAACTATAGCTATCACTTCTTGCGAAAGTTATGTAATCTATCATTAATCGTCAACTGCTCCGGTACCTAGAAGAGTACCGGCTGATTTTTAATCGCTTTTACAGCTTTCAATAGAGACGCTCGAGCGATGATCTTTTAGCTTATTTAACACACCGATAGGCAGTAGCTTTAGCGTATTAGTTTGGGTATTGCGAAAGCCTTTGATTGGGTGTGGCATAAAGCGCTGCTTTCAAAACTACCTTCGATTGGGTTGCCTGCAAGATTCTGCGATTGCGTCGCCAGCTTTCTCGAGGAACATAGCATTTTTTTTTTTTTGGGTGAAAATGGTATGGTAACCCCGCCTGCGCTATCGATATACTCTGACGGGGTACCAGTGAGAGATAATAGGTGAGTCATGATAGTTTCCAGTGGGAACCGCGCGGAGGTCGACCTGATAGGATATATTGATAGCAATGGAGACTAACTTCCTTATTACTAACAATCCCTTCCCCCCTCTATGTGCTTAGTTAGAATACCAATAGTGTACAAATTTTCATTAAATTTTGTTAAATGGTTTTTGCGTGAAAGATTAACAAACACCCATCCATTTATCTATCCACCGTTACAAACTTTCACATTTATTATAATAATAGGATTTAAACGGTTTAATAATGACACGCTCAACTATCATTATAAACTGACATATTTGCCTCGTCTAAATTTATCTATGTCTGGCACAGACCAATATCGTCAGCAAAAAAAATTAAGGCTAAAAAATAATACAGATCTCTGTACTTTAAGAATGGAATTAATCTTATCGTTGGATTGGCTACTTATTTCATCGTCATTAGTAAAGATTAAATTAGCTAAAAGTAAATGTTAGGTTAAAAACGTTATAGAAACAAAAATTATTGGTTATCAACTATTTAAATGACTTTTATATACTGATAATATTAATTGTTACTTCATAGCGTGACTAATCCTTATCGCTAAAGGTTTATATAAAGGGCATTGTGTAAATAACTACCGTTAAATAACAAATATATCGTGAAATTATAATTTTACACTTATACTAAAATTAAAATTAAACAAAATAAAAAATCTTATCCTTATTTTCATCTGTTTTATTTTATAACATTTTATTTACATAACATTCAAAACAAAGTGTTATACGAATGTAATATAATAATAATATGTAAAAAACAAATAAATTATATTATTTAAAAAAAAACATTTTGTTCCATTTATTCTTATCTTTTTTTTTTATACAACTTAGAACGACAAACAAGCTTACGGCCCACCTGGTGGAAAGTGGTAACCGTCGCCTATAGACATGAGCAGTACCATGGACATAACAGAGTATACTGTTCATTTCGTCCATGATACCCCCCATGCGTTCCATTCATTTATCTACCAAAATTATATGAAATTATGACGTTTGCCAATCACGTTTAAATAGCTGAATGGATTTTATTGAAATATGAAATACAGATAGATCTCAATATTTATATTTTAAGTCACGTGGGCGAAGACACAAGTTATAGCTAGTTAATTTGCTTTATTTATTGATTATATTGTAGAAAAGAAAACTTAACAACTTATAATAGTGTTTGTTATCTGTTACAACTAATCAACCAACTGTTACGACATAAACTATTAGTGTTAGTATTTTGAATATTTGTTGGATTTAAATAAAATTTGGCTAGATGTTCTAGATAATTTTTTTTTTTTTCTAATTGCAACATACACCAAATAACAGGTTTACATATTCATAAAAATTAAAATGTTCCCATCACAGATTTTAATCCTAGTGATCATACAATCTAGATAGATAGATAGATACTCTTTATTGTTTCCTCCAAAAGATTACAATAGTAAACTTAATATAAATAATTACAATAAATAATCACAATGAGAAAACAATGGGTGACCTTATCGCTAAGAGCGATCTCTTCCAGGCAACCTAATTAAGGATTTAAAGTAGGTACCTACTATATGCTATATCTATGTATATCTTCATTCTGATGAAGACTTACCGATGGAATTGAAGCAATTGTCAGTAACGACAAACATTGTAGACAAGTTTATTAAATTAACAGATATATATTAAGTCGGAATTTTGAAATATGTTAGATGATGCACTTTATTTATTCAGTTAACTAACCGTGGAGAATAAAATTATTTTTCTGACTGTACTTATATAAAAACTAAATATACAGTATAAAAATATACATATAAAATATTCATAATTATATTTATAACACACCCAGTGCTTTCGTCTAAACTTATAATTTTATATAGGCACGACGATTCGTTAAAATATTACCTACTTACATATTTACATAAATTTATTTTAAATATTAAAATAAAATGCGTTTATTGATATTTTATTTTATTATTTCTGGTAAGTAATTACAATGTTTTTAATATTCTTTAGACAATTAAGCGAATAGTTTGATCAAATTAAATTAAATTCCATTTTTGTAATAATTTTATTTCCTTTTTTTTTAATACGTAGATATTTATTTGTTACTATTACAGTATGTACTATTTAATTTGCTCTGTTTAATTTGAGAATTGATTGGGTTGCATTGTGCTACATAATTACATACCGCTATCTAATCAAATACATATTATTACATTTGTTGCATAGTATTTGTTATATTTTTTTTTATTTGACGTTAAACTTAGTAACGCATTAAAATTTCCACGTTCAAATATGCTCATCATAATATCAGTATGATGAGTATCACATTTATCACAACAGTAACTGTAACAGGGGGTAAAGGAATTGTTAATAATGGAGATTAGCATTATTAACAATTATTGCTAGCAATATATATCCAGTTAACCTCCACGCGATTTCCCCTGGAACCAATCATCGTAATTAATTCTTGTTAAATTCACCACGATGAGCTAACTGACCTGCTTTCATGCTCGCCTCTTATAACTCACTGGTACTCTTACAGAGTATACCGATAGCGCAGGGGGGGAGAAGCTACGATTTCACTCCATAAAAAATAACTAGAAAAATCCTTCTGACTGCCTATAAGCAATTACAGTAATGAACATGTTATTTTATTATTTATATCTTTTTATTTTATTTATAATATTATTATTTTGCAGTATTTAAGATACTCGTGCAGTCGCAAGAAAAATGCAACGACCAAAATAGTTTGCTACCAGATAACTCGGTTCGTTATTTAGATTATGTGGATGATTATGGCAATTCACATGTCATAGACTCGAAAGAGACTCCAAGTCTTAAATTGCAAGATTCAGTTAAGCCTGATGTTCGTTTTCTTTTATATACAAGTTAAGTACATTATTTTTGTTGCCACAGCGCAACGTTACTCTTAATTAGATATGGGTAACACTGTGCTATGCCGCGCAATTCCGCCAACACACTTCACTGCGCTGTGTCAATGCCATGCGATGTGTCAACTCTTCTTTAAAATAAAATGGCGCACAGCGCAGTAGTGAGAAATATGAAATGAATTCGGAGAAATAAGTTAACTTATTGGATTTATGAGTACTAAAAAAGCATATAAATACACTAATTTATATGAATGAGTACGGAGACTAAAAGGAAATCTGGAATCAGACTAAAGGACTTTTTTTTCGTCACATATTTTTGGCATATGTCAAAAAAGTACAGTACAACGATACAGGTTGTCCCAAAGATTTCTTTGTTCTTAGAAATATCCCGCGCACCACAGCGCAATTTTAAGTTAATGAGTCGACGCAATGGGATGCACCTGAGGTACTAAGTTGACGCAAGACATATCGTTGTCTTACTCATGTCCACTATTTATAAGGAAGATTTATATTTTATTTAAAATATTGCTTTCTTCATTGCATAGAGTTTGTTTTTTTTTTTATTATAATATGATTTGGAATATAGAAGCTCTTCTAACAAAGGAGTCGCCGCTATTAATAATTATAATTATCAACAGAAATACAAGAAATACAAAAAAAAACTTTATTCCCATCCTTCCTTTCATGTTTACGCATGCACACAATTTTTGGTTCACGCTGACGAGGTTCTAGGAAAGATGATAGGGAGAGATGATAAGTGAAGGTGAAGTCAAGTCAGACTATCACGACGAATTCACTACGATGCTACCAGACATTTTTTTATGGGTGAAAATGGTATGGTAACCTCGCCTGTGCTAACGAGATACGCTGGCGGAGCACCAGTGAAGGGTGATCGATGAGAATGAAAACAGGCCAGTTAGCCCATCATGATGAATTCATCAGGAATTAACCATGATAGTTTCCAGGAAGAACTACGAGGAAGTCGACCTGGTTGGATATATTGCTAGCAATAAGATTCTCAGTCTCCATTACTAACAATTCCTTTCCCCCAAAGTACCAGACATATTGCTAACAAAGAGACCACTAATCCCCATGAATGACATTCTCCCTCGCCCGCACTGAATTGTTAAGTATATAATTACACTTACGTTAACGGTTATAATATAAATGTTACCTAGATTTCATTTTCGGTACTCAATACATAGTGATTGTAATTGGAGTAATAATAAAGTTAAAATAACAGATTAAATATATAACAGAACAGGACAGGGCAGGGTAGTACGGGACAGGATAGGGCAGGACAGGACAGAGCAAAACAAGGCAATTCTATTCAAAATAAAATTTTATTGCTGTGTACATATAGCAGTAAACATTTCATTGGAGTATAACTTTTTTACATAAATTTCAAGTTATACCCTATCGGGCATGCAACAATTTTAGAATAGGTATTTATATAATTAATTATATAATTACCAAAACATACTAAAATTAGTATGAATAAACTATAGCGAAGTAAAAATGTCTGAAATTGTTATTTTTAGGAAAAATCCATTTTACGAGCAAATATTAGTAGATGGTAACCGGAACTCCATTTACGTGTCGCACTTTAATGCACGTGTGCCGACCATGGTTATTGTTCATGGTTGGCAAAACAGCCCATATGTAGGTCTCAATCCTGTTATCCGAAATGGTAATTTATTTTTTATAATACTTAGAATATCAAAAAACTAGACGGCCTACATTCCAACATTGTATTGCATTGCATGGCTACAAGGACATACGTTGAAATCTTACTAATATTTTTAAAAATTTGTAAAGGTATTTGGATGTTCGTCACTCTCTCACGCTTAACCTGTTTAACAGATTTGGAAAAAATTTGGGTAAACAGGTAGGTTATATGCTTATTTAATAAATAATATACTTTATATACTAATGTACATGAAAAATCTCGTAAATTAAAATCGCGTGAAACAGTTTTTTTTTTAATGGATGATAATGAAATGGTAATCCCACCCGCGGTATCGGTATACACCGGCGGGACACCAGTGAAGGATGATAGGTAAGGATGAAGTAGGTCAGTTAGCCCATCGTGACGAATTCAAAAAGAATTGTTCACGATGGTTTCCAGGGGGAACCACGTGGACGTTGATCTAATAAGGCATATTGCTAGCAATGAGGCTGTCAAACTCCATTACTAACAATCCCTTTCCCCCCCCGCGTGAAACAGTTAGTATCACTGTTTTTATTATTTCATTTACGAATTAACTTTATTACTTCAATTCATCGCCGTTTACTCTTTTTTTTTTTTTAGCGTAACAGTTGAATGGTAAAAAATGCCATTAGAGATTAAATCCACTCCGTAGACATTTTTTAATGTATGCAAAAGTATAAATAAATAAACGAATTTCTTAAAATTGGTAATGATAGCAATCAGACGCGTAAGCCTATATGATTGGCATCTTTTGTAATTTCAAACACGAGACTGTTCACAATCCAGTCTTTCTGTATGTATGTAACGCGATATCTTTGCCAATTCCGAGTGGAATTTGATAATTATTTATTGCAATCAATTGGGTTTACACCCGTAGAGGACCATCATAATAATATGAATTTTGTCGATAGAAATCGTTCCTTTTGCAGGTGTCTTAAATTTTTTAATCATCGTTTAGAAATAATTATAAGTACGATTTACTGAACATAGCCTAATCCTACTAATATTATAAATATGTAAATGTTTGAATGTTTGTTACTCAACGACGCATAAACAAATGAACGCATTTGAGTACAAATGAAAATAATCTGGATTAACAAATAGGATCCTTATCGCAAGCAAACCCATGATTTATAGCTAGTCATGCAGTATGCATTATAAAGCTAATGATTTTCAGGTAAATGTTATATGAAAATATAACATTTACCTATATCATAAAAATACTAACTAATCTAATCTAAACTATAAAAAATAATAAGAAATTATCCTCTTTTTATAAAGAATATAACATAAAAATTAAAAAAAAAAACCTAATAGACATAAAACTATTGGATTAAATTTTACTCTCATGTTTATGATACTTACTTAAAATGACCATTAAATTAACGGCACACCTGATATAAAGTTATTAGTATATTTAGTTTTCTATAAATATGAACAGCACGTAGACGACAGAATAATTATACCGTGATATCATAGTATCCCATCATTTCATTTTATTTAGTAAATATTTACTTTTGGTATAAATGTGAAATTTTATTTTCACAGCGTATTTATCAATCAGTGACGTAAATATTATAATTTTGGACTGGCGATCAGTTGCTCATCTGAATTACGTTAATTCTGTGATGGGTGTCCCTGAAGTTGGGAAGGCATTAGGGCAGTTCTTGGCCTTCCTCAGTTCAGACACTAGTACCCCATTTAGTCGCATACATTTAGTCGGGCACAGTTTAGGGGCACATGTCGTTGGAAATGCTGGAAGACAGTTGAATGGGAGAGCTGCTCGAATCACAGGTAAATTTTATTGTTTTTATTATGAAGGCTGTCTGAAAACTCTTTACAATCGAGGGCAACACCCTCACATAAATAGTAATAGTACTTATTTTTATGTTCATTTTGAGACTTTCAAAATATAACAAACTAGTGCTCCGGCCCGGCTTCACGTAAAATTTTTTGAAAATACCATATAACGCGTTACTCGCTGATAATATAGCTTTTATCGTTTTTCAAATCGGTTAAATAGTTTTTTAGTTTGTCCATACACACAACATACAATTAAAAATTTCCTCTTTAGTAACATTAGTATAGAAGTATAGATACACATACAATCTCAATTTCATGTTATCAGTAAGGATCAACAACTTTGTCTATTTTCTTAAATGGCATTTTCCTTATCAATGATATATTTTCAAATACCTCATCATAATTCATAAGCTGAAAAAATAAACTATAATAATTTTTACTGAAGAAAATTATGAATAATAACTCGACTTAGTAGATATAAAATTACTATCGGTACTGCGCTACACATATTGGCCTTTTCCTAAGCACAAAACTTTAAATAGTTCCCATATTTTATCCAAATGCGAGTAAATGTAAATCTAAAGTAATTATAGTCGATTCTGACGCGTCATGTCTCTAAACCTATCTCTAATTTAAAGTTGATATTACAGCAAAATCTTTATTGTGTAAATTTCTAATATATTTAAGTTAAAATTATTATAATTTTTGTATTTTATTATATTTTATCGTCTTTTTTTTATACAACTTAAAATGGCAAAAAAGCTGACGGCCCATCTGATGGAGTGGTAACCGTCGCTTATAGACATGAGCAGTACCATGGACATAACAGAGTATAATGTTTCACCCATGCAACCCGCCAAGCGTTGCCATTCCTGAGGACTCAGGTGTTATTCCTCCATACCCTGTAAATTCACTGCCATATTCCACCCTTCAAACCGGAACACAGCCATGCAAAAAGAATTGCTTCACGGTTGAAACACGAATGGGACAGAGGTACCCAAGCAAATGACATTTGTACAAAACTCCCTCTGGTAAAGTAAGTATATTCAAACATTTTACTACTAATAAACTCCTTAACAAATTTCAGGTTTAGATCCAGCAGGTCCTTTATGGTTTATGAATCCAAATAGATTGACAAATACTGATGCAATGTACGTCGAAGCTATTCATACAAATGGATTTGCTCTCGGTACATATATGGAACTGGGTGACGCTGATTTCTACCCAAACGGCGGACTTATACAACCTGGTTGTTTAACTTCATCGTGTAGCCACTCCCGTTCATGGAAGCTTTTCGCTGCATCCATTTTAAATAAGAAATTCGTAGCACACAAATGTGAGAATAAAATTGAAATGCTCATCGACTCATGTTCAGGTCCAGAGTTAGAAATGGGTAATACAAATTTAAATAAAACAGGGTAAGTCTCTTAATACATCACCAAAAGCCTAACTTAAGGATTATAGTTTTATTTTAATGCATGATTAATGGGATGGTAACCCCGCCTGCGCTATCAGTATACGCTGGCGGGGCACCAGTGAGGGATGATAGGTGAATAATGAAAAAAGCAGGTCAGTCAGCCCATCGTGATGAATACACCTGGAACTCAGCACGATGGTTTCCAGGGGGAACCGCGTGGAGGTCGACCTGACAGGGTATATTGCTAGCAATTGGACTGGTAGCTCGCATTACTAACGATCCCTTCCCCCCTAAGGATTATAGTTACAATTATATTTTTATTTTTTCAATAATTAAACTATAATAAGTACATTTACACTAATTTCCCAGTTCTCAAGTTAGGATAGCCTGTGTTATAAGATATCAAATAATAAATATCTGAAGCCATATTCATAATCCGTAACACTTGAATCCAAGCTAATTAAAAAAAATCATTTGCGACTGACCCAATCGGAAATTAAACCCGGGATCTCATCTAGGCAAAGCAACATTGCCTCCACTGCACCACGGAAGTCATCATTAAATATATAATGTAATATCGTAGCTATTTTCAAAAAATTTGGCAAATAGCCATATCCTATAGATGTGTAGTATGATATCTTTTTTTTTAATTAATATTATAAACAGGTAAAATTAAAGTTTTTGTTTAGTTTAGTAACAGATAAATTAAAAAATGCTTAATCACTTTTTTCCCCCTAATAGAAAACTATATTATTTGTAAATATGAAAACCTACAAAAACAAAATTAAACATTTTCACCTTGCTGCCTGCGCAGATCTTACCTTGACATGTCTTATCTTCATAAGTTAGTGAATAATCACATTGATTGCCTGCCTCTACTGGGGAAACTAGATTACAATGTACCTACTAGAGTGCCGCGGCATCCTTGTAATCTATTTAAAAATGCAGCTTGCCGAACAAACTTGGGTCGCGAATCACCTATCGTCCGCATAACGCGTCTGTATAACGATATTGTAAAAACCAAGCCTGAACTTGATATTCACTGCGATAGTCACTCTGTATTCATGACTAAATTAAAGTGTTGATATACCTCCCCATTACATTATATTTATTTATATTTTATAATAATTTGAATACAATTTCCATTATTTATATTATATTATTATTCATATTGTTAATATCTTTACTCATTTAATAATTTAATTATATTTTAATGTTTGTCAAACACAAGGCATGCTGTGGTTGCCTATAAATGTAAGAACGGTGAGATCTGAGCTGCCAGTGTATTGTATTAAAACTTAGCTTTATTGTAGCTGTATCTTATGTTGGTAATCCTGTAAATAAATAAATAAATAAATAAATAAATAAGTAACAGGGACAGAAATTGTTTAAAACAGAATTTGTATTTCTATAAGAAATGCAATAATGTAACCTCGATTGATCTTGGTGATATACCTGAAGTAAATCACCAAGATCAAATAAAAAAAATACATATTAGTTTTAAAAATTCTTTCATCTACAAAAAGCTACATTATTAGCAAATAACATGGGCTTTAATTTATTTTCAAAAATCATACGAAGCCAGATGGTTATTAAAAAATATAATAACAATAAAACAAAAGGGCTGATTCATACTTTATAATAGTTGTTGGTTATAATCATTATCATCATCATATCAGCCTTTAACTGTCCACTGCTGAACATAAACCACCCCCTTGGGGGGAGGGGGGGGGGATTTGCCAGTAGTTGCCACGATTGGTAGGTAGATTGGTAACCGCAGTCAAGCTTTAGAAATGTTTTAAGAGGGACGCTGCTGCCCATCCCTCGCCCTCCCTTAGCCAGCTCTTACGATACCCACGGGAAAAGAAGGGGTGGCCTATTCTATGTGGGGACTATACGGCCAATATATGTTTTGAATTAATGAATATTTATTTGCAAGAAATATGGTAAATATACAGATAGATAAAATAATATTAAGTCCACATATTTCGTCACAATTAGGCATGCAATATTTTAAATATTTAAATATTAAATTAACAATTCTTATAAAAAAACAATATGTCGATTATATTGGTTATAATGATATAAATTAATATTTTTTACCTTTAATTATTATATTAATTCTGTATTTTCAGGCGCGGTGTATATCGAGTGGATATTAGTGACGTATATCCATATTAAAAATATTATTAAATTCAATGTCTTTATATATTGTATAGTTTCTTCATTTTGCCCTTTTCGGTGGTTAATTTTTATTATTTTAAAATTTCAAAACAGTAAGTCCTATAAATAGATTAAGTATACATATATTAATATGATTATATTTAGAGGTGGTATTGTATTGTAACAAACTATATGTAACATTATCGATGTACCAATAAATAAATAACTATCCGCCTGTATTTGTGCCGTGAAGCAGTTGTGAATGGCTGTGGAGTATGGCGGTGAAATTACTGGGTACCGAAATAGGGTCATGATACTCGGGAATGGCAATGCACTAGATTTATAATGGGTATCACAGTGATGCCCATACAATTTTACATATCTATTGGCGACGGTTACTACATTCCATCAAGTGGATCGTCAACTATTTGCTATTCTAAGTGTCACAAAAGAAAATTGTTTTATATTTCAGATATTAAACAAATACAGTAGAATTTTTGTGAAATTTTCAAATAGCAACGTTTAGGTCGGGTTTAGGATCGAAATAATATTTGAAAAAAAAAATTATTATACGATGAAAACTTCGGGTGATTTAAATAAAATATTGGCAAAAGTTCAACTCATGCGCCATCCGTCGCTGAAAGATTTGATTTTGAAAAGAAATTTATCTTCCAACTTTCAACATATTGAAGCAATCAAATAAAATAGAGATTTTATTCGGGTGGAGTCCTTAACATTCGAACTATACTTGGATAGTTTCATTTAGGCTAGCTCCCCGCCCCGGTACTTATATAGAGATATTTTTACGTAAAATTTTCAATGTTCCGTATGCTTTTCCAAACTTTTTTTTTTTCATATAAATCTTGTTCTATCAATTGCAAAAGACCACAAAAAAGAATTATCTAAATATATGTATCCGTTCTGAAGTAATGAATATTCTCCTACATACATTCCACAATTAATTGTTATTTACAATCGAATATTTAAGGATAGATTCATAAATTGTTTATAATTACTCTTCTTTTAAGTAGTCAGAGGCAGTTGAGTTTATTGTAACACATCATAACACATGACATGTCCACATTTCGTTAAATTTATGGTTCCAACAAACAAAGAGCGAGATAACCTTTATTTATATATTTTTTATACCACTGAGGTAGCAAACAGTCCACCTGATGGTAAGCGGTTACTGTAGCCTATGAATGCCTGCTATGTTAAGAGCATTACACGCGCATTGCCAACCCTGAAAGAACCAATTTACCTCTTTTTTGAAGAACCCCATGCTGTTGTCTCTTGATCTAGGCTCTAAGGTATGTGGGTGAACTCCCTATCGATATTCCTAAAACAACAAGCTGACAGTCCACCTGCTAGAAATTAATAACCGCCGGAGAGGGCGGGGGAGGTTAATGTTACTACCAGCCTCATTGCTAACAATATAACCTGTCAGGTTGACCTCCTCGTGGTCTCCCCTGGAAACCATCGTGGCGAATTCCAGGTGTGTTCATCACGACGGACTAATTGACTTGTCTTTTTCATCCTCACCTATCATCCATATCATCATAAATAAACAATGATTCATCACTTAAACAGAGTTTTGTTAAACATTAGGTAAAACACTGTTTAGATAAAAAGTGTTTTAAACTATTATTTTGATAAGGCGGACGGAATCTATAGAAATAAAGAAAATACATTACTAGCTAAGAAAAATATCAAAGCACATTATCCATCGCAATCTGCTACATAGTTTTGTCTCCTTTCACGTCCATTACAATACGAACCACTTGGTAAAACAAGAAATGAAAAAAGTTGGACTTTAATCAACGACTTTGTGGCCACTAGCGTCTGACAAAGTTTTTTGTCTCCGTCCAAACTTAAAAATACCGACATCTGTTAGATATTCTTTTAACGTAAAATAAATGACAAAGCTCTTTTGTAAAAAACTAGGTATTATTGGATTTTGTATTGTTACATGTTATATGAATAGGCTTTACTAACGACTTTATCCGCATGACCGGGATATATTTTTTCCATCCCGAACAGTACGTTAATTAAAACACCAAAAGGTAACAAACAAACTCACTTTTTATATTTATATTAGCAAGAATTAAACATGTCTCCACATGGTAATGAATATTTATTCATATTTCAGTAAAAGTGATTATTTTAAAATATAAATAAATACGTATATTGTAACGAATATTAAAAAAAAAAACTTTGTTCCCCTCAAAAAATGAAGCAGTTACATAACAATATGTATGAATACATAAAAAAAAATATTGTAAGTGCAGCCCTATCGTTCAAAATTATAATTTCTGTTTAGGTAAACAGGCGTTTGGCGATTTGTAAGCTTGTCTAACATATTTGTAAGAATACCTGAGTTAGTACATTATTCTTTAGGCGGGTGGTCAATTCCTATAATTACCCTCAAATAAAAAAAAAATGTTTTTTTTTATTATTATAAGTTTTTATACTCGATTAACCACAGTAATCATAGTACTCTCTTATCTATCCATACTTCTACATCGTCCATACTTATACATAATTATATCAATACAATAAAGATTTTACAATAACACCTAAATATATATATTAATAGATATTTGTTAATCGATACATAATTATTGTAGGCCTCAAAGTCATTACCAAACTATATATAAACACTCAATATGTATAATAACAAATATATTATACATTGTGTATAATAGTATACAAATAACACAAATGGAATATAATTTTCTTACATTATACAAAGAGAAAATCAATATCGCTTACGAAGTTCGTAAGCACGATTTTGTGGGACGTGTTCGCAATAGGGTGCTACGGAGGGTAAGGCCCTTACACTAGTAACTCTGCTTGGCCTCGAATACGAATCGTCACATAATGAGACCGTGAAAAACACTCGCTCCTCGCAGCTTCTCACTACCCGCTCTCTCGACTCTATAAACGAACGAACGTAACATTACAATCAGGCGATTACGGTCGCTAATTCGATTAGAATAGGGACGAATTCCGCTCACCCCTACCTACTTACTCAGGAGTGATACTTTGTCGAATGGTTATATGATATTCTGATAACATTTGAGAAATAATATGTGATGTTTGTGCTCGCGCGGAGACACTCGTTTATCGTTTAAGAAGTGCGATGACAGTACAGGTAACCATGTAGATTTTGATGTACAGTCTTATATTATCGGAAAAGTTTTATTATTAAAATCCTTGACTTTTGGCTCTTGGCGGACAAGAACATATTAGGTAAGTCTCTTTTGATACGTCAGCATTGATATAATCTTTTCCGTTTAGGCTTAAATCCAATGAATAAGTCCCGGGGCTTGACGAAAACTCATTTAATTTTCACTCTGATACCACAGCTTGTTCGCTCGGCGGAGAATAAAAAGGAATAATAAAAAATAAAACAACGCGAAATAATATGAAAATCCTGTTTAATTATTGGGGAAAAAATTGAATTTTTGTCAGAGGACTAATATTGTATATTTTCTACAAAGCTAATTCACTAAAATTGGCTGTACACTAATTGTATCGAATTTAATATATTATTTTGGATGACTCGCTTTTTATATATAATCTAAGATTTTATATTACTGTAAAAGGAAAGAAGCTAATTTTTTACAGTAGTTAACTTTTCTAGTACTGTAAACGAAACTCATATGTACCATGTCTAAGATTAGACCTTACTACTAACCCGGCCCGACTTTGTACGGTTTTTTTTCTATTTACACCTCATATTGTATGAAATAGAATATGAGGTGTAAATATAAATGTAAATATACTCAATGAGAATGTAGCTTTTAACAGGTGAAATAATTTTTAAAATTGTCTAAATAGTTTTTGTCTTAATTTATTATGTCAAATATTTTCCTCTTTATAATATTAAGATTAAATTTGAAATAAATAAAATGATGTACATATTAATATAGCAATAAGTATATCTTACCACATGCCGTGCCGTACCGTGTATATCCGACATAGAATAGGCTACCCCTTCCTTTTTCGTGGATGTCGTTAAAGGCGACTAAGGGAAGGAGAGGGATGGGCAGTAGCGTTCCTCTTAAAACATCTCCAAAGCCTAACTGAGGTTGCCAATTGCCTGCCAAGCATGGCAACTAGGTACTAGTAAAATCCCCCAAAGGAAAGGCTTATGTTCAGCAGTGGACAGTTTTTTTTTTATTGGATGAAAATGGAATGGTAACCCCGCCTGCGCTAACGGGATACGCTAGCGGGGCACCAGTGAAGGGTGATCAAAGAGGATGAAAACAGGCCAGTTAGCCCATCATGATGAATTCATCTGGAATTAATCATGATAGTTTCCAGGGGGAACCGCGAGGAGGTCGACCTGGTTGGGTATATTGCTAGCAATGGGATTCTCAGTCTCTATTACTAACAATCCCTTTCCCCCCAGCAGTGGACAGTTAGAAGCTGATATGATGATTTGATATCGAATTACAAATCATTTTAAATAGATTTTAAACCGACCTAAGAATGAAAATCGTGGTTAAATCGTTACTGCAATTTAAAATTCCAATAGGAAAAAGCAAGGCTATCACTATTCCGCTTTCGGCATAACTCAGCGAAATATGATTTTTCTTTAGAGCTCGCATTCTATCGAAGTGATGCAGTAAATATTCATGAAATGGAACGTTTCGTTTGCGTACTATATTATATGCAGTCGGGTAAGAAGCGAGGAGAGAGCTGAATGTCTTCACAGATACCTCTACCTTTGAATGGTGACCATTTCGCATTACAACATATAATTCTTATAATGATATACTATTATAATATTATAATAAAATTGATGTTTCTAGTGCATTAAGTTTCATATTATAATGATTCGAAGCCCTCTGGACAACCGTACAAGTTTACCAGAGGGAAACTTTGTACAAAAGTCGATTGCATGGGTACCTCTGTTCTATTCACGTTTCTACCGTAAAGCAGTTGTACTTGCATAGCTGTGTTTCGGTTTAAAGGGTGGGTATGGCGTGAATTTACAGGGTGCAGAAGAATAACATCTGAGTTCTCAG